TCTCTCGGATCACATACCTATTGTTTTTACGAGAGGTTAATTTTGATTATGGGCATTCCACGTTTAGGAATTTTCACTCTTGGTTTTATATGGATGGTTCTAAGAAGCTTGTGAAGGATTCTTGGTAGAGTGAAGTCATTGACCATCCTAGTGCCATGGTGTTGTGTAAGAAAAAAAATGCAATCTTTGAAGTCTAAAATTTGAGATTGGGCTAAGACTTCAAATCTTGCTAAAAAAAGGGGTTAAGATGGAACTTCAATCGACGTTAGCTGATATTGATCGAGATTGGACCATGGTGAGGGTCTTATGTCAGATCTTGATGATAGAATGGCGTTACTTAAGTCTTTGGCAGATATTGACAAGCTTGAGTCTCTTGAGTTAGCTCAAAAAGTTAAGGTGCAGTGGATTATAGAGGGTGATGAGAATTCTAAATATTTTCATGGTATCATAAACAAAAAAAACACAGTCAACTTGCTATTCGTGGTATTTTCTCCGATGGTGATTGGATTGATGAGCCAGTTGCCATTAAAAAAGTGTTACTTTCCCATTTTAAAAGCCAATTTTCTCCCCCTGGCTACTAGTAGTATTCCTCTCAATTTACACTTTCCCAAGCAATTTCACGAGGACCAGAGAAAGTGGTTAGAAGATCCTATCATAGTAGAAGAGATTAAGATGGTTGTTTGGGACTGTGGTTCTAATAAACACCCGAGGCCAAAAAGGTTTACATTCGAATTTTTCCATCGTTTTTGGCATTTAGTTCGGGTGTCTTTCCTTCAGGTTGTAATCCTTCTTTTATCTCTTTGATCCCTAAGGTGTCGGATGCTAAATTTGTCAGAGATTTTTGGCCTACTAGTTTGATTGGTTGTCAATACAAGATTGTGGGTAATAGACTTTCTAATATGGTGGGTGATTTAGTTAGCGTTGAACAATTTGCTTTTATTCCTGGTTGTCAAATTCTTAATGGGCCAATAATTCTGAATGAAGTGGTCTCTTGGTGTAATGAAAAAAAGAAACAAGCTATGATTTTTAAAGTTAACTTTGAAAAGACTTATCATTCTGTGAGATGGGATTTCCTGGATAATGCTCTTCATAATTTCGGTTTCGGAGTTTGTTGGCAGGAATGGATTAGAGGTTGTCTTTATTAATCTATGGGTTCAGTGTTGGTTAATGGCAGTCCTACAGAGGAGTTCTGTTTCTATAGGGGTCTTAGACAAGAATATCCACTATATCCTTTTTATTTATCTTAGTGATGGAAACTCTTCATATTACGCTTTCTAGAGCCAAGGCCTAAGGTTTATTTCATGGGTTTTATGTTGGACCTTCTAATCTTATTTAGATTACATAACTTTTTTACGTTGATGATGAAATTTTGATTGGAGAGTGGATTGATTTGAATCATTGAAATATGTTCATATTTTATAGTGTTTTTTATGGCTTCAGGTCTTAAAATTAATTTATGGAAATGTAGATTTATGGGAATTGGAGTTAGATTTTCAAAGGTTGAGAATGTTGCTTCTTTGATTTGGTGACTTGCTTCTAAGACCCCCTTTTTCATATTTGGGAGTTATGGTTATGTCAAAATTTCAATCGTGGTCCGATGTTGTGAATAAGGTGAAAGAACGTCTTTCTAGTTGGAAGGTCAAAACATTGTCTATTGGCGGCCGACTTACTTTGTTCAAGTCGGTTTTGGGTTCTATCCAAACATTCTATATGTCTCCCTATAAGGTACCAGCTGGTATTTTATCAAACTTCGAGGCGATGAGAAGGAATTTCTCTAATGATGGTGACGTGGAGAAAAGGAATGTAACACCCTAAATATGGTATGTCTTGAAACCCTCAAGAATCGCATTTTAGCATAAGTACACTTGGTTGGTCGTGGAGGAACTAGAGGTACGCTGGGTGTACCAAGTCGTACGTCGGGCATACGTACCAGGGTTCAAAACCCTAATTTTCAGACACGAGACCTATTTAAGCGACCTTAAGTCCCTTGGACTTATCGCTAGAGAGCCCCCACTACCTTAGAACGCCCTTACACTCCAGAGAACTTGTGTGAGACCATTTTGAGCTTGGATAAGTGTATTGTGAATCTTTTAGTGTTCATTCCAAGAAGAAAAGGTGGTTATACAAGCTTGGAACGAGTTGGTGCTTCAAGATCCTACATCATAGTCATCTTGCAAAGCTTCTGGAGGTAAAAATCTTGGATCTTTCATCTTAAATCTCTAGATTTATCTAGGGTTTTCTACCTTGTCCCTTTTTGGTTGATTTTGGACCTCTATTGTGAGTTAAGCAACTCCAAAAGATGGGAAAGAAAGATCTGAGGTCCCTTGGTCCTTTAGTGTCATAAAAATGGGAGCTTGATGGGAGTTTTGGCCTCATGCATGGGTTAAAGACCTTTGAAAGGTCTCAATGGAGAGGTTGGGTGTGTATGAGACATGCAAAGGCATAAAGTTGCCAACTTTATGTCTTAGGACATCTTTACAGATTTAGATCTGACTTTTGGACGTAAAGGAAAACGATTATTAAGCACTTAATGGGGAAAGTGCTCAAACTGGTTGTACGTTGGGCGTAACCCAGTGTACGCCACGCGTAGTACTTAAGACCCCAGTACGCTGCACATACCATTAGAAATAGGTCGGGTTTTTATAAGAATCATCCTAAAAAAATATGTTTTTGACAGTATTGTCATTCACCGGTACTCTTGGTGTCAAAATAGGTGTAAGTTTTCTTTTAGTTGGGTTGGGTGGTTGCAAAATCATTTTTTGGTTATAATGTTATTTTCTAGTTTCTTGCTAGTTTAGTTTTATATAATTTTTGTCGTTCTAAAAAAATGTACAAACGACATACTAACGAAGCACTCTACGTTAACATTTTGATTCATCAAGTTAAAATCAATACCAACTCAACATATAAACAACAATTAAACTTATTTCCTGAAAAAGCTATAAGATCACATTACTGATCCATAAAATTTGGATATTACAGGAAGGGCAAAATGAGTTAAGTGAGATATCTACTTCTATCACGAAAGATGATTGTCATTTTTGGAATTGAACTCAATTATTGTACAACATGTTCAACAACAGTCAACCACTCTTCCCAACCGGTAGCCCCTCCCCGGCGGCATCTAATCATTCCAATTCTAAAACTTTACCCCTTAACAACTTGAAATCAAAAGAACATGTGATGATGTCATCAACAAGTGGCTCAGTTTTTAATTTTCCAAGAACACCTGTTTTCTAGCACCGTATGTTCAGAAATCACCCATATCCTTTCCCTTATATGACAAAAATAAAATATCTTCCTTAATTCACAAACTCATTACTGCCGATGTCACACCATACAGAGGCGTTGAATGATCTCCGGCCACCTCTCCTCCCTCCAGACGACCATGAACTGCCACTCGAGTGGCTCTCCGTCGACCAAATGTTAACCAAATACTGCGGCGAGTTTGGGTTCTGGCAGCTCAAGCATTTCATTCTTACGTGTATAGCTTGGGCTCTCCAATCCATCCACACCATGGTTATGATCTTCGCCGATTGTGAACAGGGTTGGACATGCGAACCAGGTTCTGGATGTGTATGGGACGCCGACAAGAGCGTTTGTGGGCTTGACCCAGGTTCATGGCGTTGGGATGATGGTGAAGGGTGGTCAACGGTGGCTGAGTGGGGTCTGATTTGTGGAGAAAAATACAAGGTTGGGTTGGTTCAAGCTCTGTTCTTCACCGGCTGCATGATAGGTAAAACACTCACTCTCTCTCACACACACACATACACTCTTTCTCTCTCTACTAAATCTTACGTTACAGGTGCCGGAATATTCGGTCATCTATCGGATTCAAAACTGGGAAGAAAAGGGTCGTTGACGATCGTATGCAGTTTGAGCTTTGTTTTCGGTCTACTGACATCCATCTCCCCCAACTACTGGACCTACGTCCTCCTCCGTGTACTCACCGGATTCAGCACTGGCGGAGTCGGACTCTGCGCTTTTGTTCTAGCCACCGAACCAGTAGGTCCCACCAAGCGTGGTATTGCCGGAATGTCCACCTTCTATTTCTTCTCAATCGGAATAGCCCTTCTCTCCGGCATAGCTTACATATTCCGATACTCATGGCGTTCCCTCTACATCGCCTCCTCCATACCCTCCATCCTCTACATCGTTTTCATTCTCCCTTTCATCTCCGAATCCCCTCGTTGGTGCCTTATTCAAGGGAAAACCGATCAAGCCATGAAGATAATGCATAGTATAGCCAAATCCAATGGGAAACACCTCCCTAAAAATGTCTACATTGCCCTCAACGAGGAAGGCAATAGTCATGATCATGATCATGACCATGACACAGTTTCTAATACTATCAGAAATGAAACCAGTGAAACTGTGGTTAGGGGATCGGTGATAGATGTGATCAAGTCACCATTAACGAGGAAACGATTGTTTCTTGTGATGGGAGTCGACTTCACATGCTCAATCGTGTACTATGGATTGAATTTAAATGTTGTGAACCTAAAAACGAATCTCTATTTGGCTGTGTTACTAAATGCTATTGTGGAGATGCCAGCGTATCTATTGACTGCGATTTTGATTGATAGATTTGGGAGGAAGCCGCTTGGGATTGGAACACAGTGGTTCAGTGGGGTGTTCTGTATTATCGGGGGGATATTGGGAAGCAGAGGGATTTGGAAGGAGGTTACGATGTTGTGTGGAGTTTTGGGAATATTTGGGATGGCAGGGACTTTTAATTTGATGTTTATATACGCAATGGAGTTGTTTCCAACTGTGGTGAGAAATGTCGCGCTTGGATGTGGGACCCAGATGATTCAGTTAGGTGCGATATTGGTGCCTTTTGTGGTGGTTGTTGGTGGTGGTTTTCCGTTTATGGTGTTTGGGGCATGTGGGATTGTGGGAGGGATTCTTGTATTATACTTGCCGGAGACATTAAATAAGCCCTTGTATGACACCATGAATAAGTGGCTATTGGTGGTTGCATGAAAACAGTTGTAAGCATTAAAATTACTAGATTGTCCTTGATATAAAAAATATATATATAGACTAAACAAGCCCCTGAAGTTCCATGATTGTTTCAATTACACCCTCTTAACAAAAATGTTTTCAAGTTTATGCCAACACTATGAACACATCACACATCTCCTTGAACTTCGATTTTATGGCCCAACAACGTCGTTATCTCCCAAAATCTCGGCTATGGATTTGTTAACTGCATTTCCTCTGGCCTAAAAGAAGCAAAACAATATATGAGAGAAAGAGCAAAAATGAAAATGACGGAAACACCCCTAGAAGAGTACTACTAATTCAAGTTTTGTAGTAATATTACCTTGACTCCAATTGCCATAGCCGTTTTAAGATTCACAATTTCACCTAATTTAAAAGAGCCCCCTTTCTTATCTTTAACAAAAATGACGGAAACGCCCCTAGAAGAGGCCAGGCTAGGTAGGTGCTTTGTAAGCGATCGAGGGTTGCAGTCTGTTGCTATAAGTATTGCCTGTTTTTAGTATTCAGTTTTTCGTTAGCATCATTTTTACATAGAAGGGTAAAATTGTCATTTTCAGTCCAAAAAGGGAACAGCCATTGTCCATAAAGCATTTACGGGTTGTTTCTTTTCTTTTCTTTTTCAGATTAAGCCCTGGATAAAGTGTAGCATGTTTCTTTTCTATACTGAATACGAGACTAAATGACCATTTTACCCTTGCATGCCAAAAAAAACAAATTTTACAATGTTACACAATTTTAAAGTCCCAGATAACCTGCAAATGAAGGGGAGACATTTTAGCATTAGAACTTTCTGTGGGAGAACTTAAAGATCCATGAAGTGGTGGGATCCGTTCAAGCACACGTGTCACATCATTGACACCAATTGAAAATTGTTGCTAATAAAGAACATATACAAAACATCATCAGTCAAAGTTGAAACAACTTATCAAATAAAACTAGATTTAAAGAGAAAAATAAAACCTTAAGCCAAATTTTGTAAGGTAAAGATTCATCTGAACGTCTAGCCAACTTGATTTCTCTGGTGCAAACACAATAAGGTTGTTTTAGTGTGTGTATGAATGTAGAAATTTTGGTGAGGGCATAAAAGTATATACTGTAATGTATTATACTTTAAATTCATTATAATTTGTAAATTGTAATGCAATGTATTTGTTACCTTTGAATTGAGTTAAGAAGATGGAGTAGACTTTCACCTTCATAAGAACTAAATGAACACATGACAAATGAAATCATAGTTAGTTAGTAATACATTGGTGGAAAACAAGAATTGGCTTAAAGTAGGTTATTGATGTGTGCATATAAGAAACGGAAATACTACTTGAACCCTAAAACGAACACAGAAGAAACGGAAATTTACTTTGGCTGCTGAAGAATGGAGTCGTTAGAGAGTTTCTGAGGCAATACTACTGAACTTTTGTTTCTGTTTTTCATCCGCATTTTGCATTGAACAAATAATTCGATGTAAATCCCCTTCAACAGAACAGTTAAACAATTATACTCAGTAAACAAACTCAAAGAAAAACTATAATTTAGGATCGAGAATCACACACACAGTAAAATAGTTGTAGTTAACAATTAGGTGAAGAACGATCAGAAATTTGCATACAATAATCAGAAGACAGAATTATGTGTGCTTTTAAGCTCGAATACTCGCTCCATTCAACAATGGAAGCAATTAGCAAAGTTAACTGAAGTTGCATAAGCTGGTCAGGTTTGCTAATGTATATGAAGTCAAAGAGTATTACCTATGATTTCTTGGCTAGTGTCGAACTGTCGATTGCAGCTGGCGCGGCTGGAACTGCTGGAATGGCGATTTGGAGGTGTACGCGCTGCTGGACTACCGGCGGTGCCGTTGATTGCAGCCTTGCGCTGCTAGACTACAGCGGGTGCGGGAATGACTAATGAGGAACCGACGATTGTAACTGCTGTGGAGTGTGGAGGTCGGAATCGTGATGGATTAATGCTCGATCGACTATGAAAAATGAAAACCCTAAAACCCACTCTGATTTTCTAACTTTTGATTTTATATTATTCATTTCCATAGGAATAAACTTTGATTTTATATTATTCATTTCCATACGAATAAACTTTGAGTTGTTAATTTTAATATATTTTTTTATATATTTACACATTATTAATTTATTTTATCTATTAAATGTATTATTTAATACTTATAATACTATATATATATATATATATATATATATATATATATATATATATATATATATACACACTATCAGTGTACCCGTGCAAAGCGGCGGGGCGTGTAAATTCTTTCGGTGATATGTTTCCTCTACAAAAATGTTATTTTACAAAAGAAAGTACATGTCGAAGACAAAATAATCAAACTATGGTGTTATTTGGGAGATGAAGTCATTTTTTGTTCCTGGACGGTGGGCTTTATAGCAGAGGAGGGAACAAAGAGGTATATGCGATTGGAGGGATATTTGAATCAACATGCTAAATTTAAGGATATCTAAAAGAGTTCAAAATTTGAATGAATCCGGGATTTGAGGGAACCATATCAAATTGTTGAGAAATATAAGGAGATTTGATGATAAATATTTGAATTCAAAATGTAGTTAAAATTTAATATTATTTTATTAATGGTTACTTGTACTATCAGCTTCATCATTTAGACGTTTTAAAAAAATAATATTATTATAATCAATCTATTTTTAGAAATAGTTAGATTTCTTTTATAAGATAGTAAAGATATATATATATATATATATATATATATATATATATATATATATATATATATATATATATATATATATATATATATATTAAAAGACTCTTGTTTATGAATAGTAGGATTGACCAATTTCATACTTTTAACACAAAAATTCGTACATATTCAAATTTTACACAATACTTTTCACATATTCAAAATTTCATCCTTCTGGCTTCTATTCTCCTTCCCTAATCTAAAATTCTCAACATCATTGGCATTTCACAATTGCTTCGGACTCCTTACTTTTCTTCCTCTCCGACTGTGTGGGTTTGACATCTTATATGTCTTCTCGATCAAAATTTAGGATTCCGAATTTTGGGTTTGACGTTTCAGACACAGTCTCGATCAAGAACTGAGGATTTCCACTTCCGTCTCCACCAAACGCCTATGCTTTATGGCCGCCTCCAACCGTCTCTGTTGCAATTTGAAGTCTCGGTATGTTCTCTGTCGTTTGTATATCCTTTTGATTTTATGTTTTCAATTTCGAATTTCTTCCTTCCCAACATTGTGGGTTTCACGTTCGAATTCTAGGTATAATGTTTCTTACACCAAGTCGATCAAGAACTTCGAATTCTGGGTATGACGTATATGACACCATCTCGACCAAAAAGTTAGGATATCGACTTCCGTATTGTTTTTCTGTTCCATTTGAATTTCTATTTTCAGTTCCACTTTCAAACATTTTTTTGGACTCGATCATGCACAATAATCACGCCAAAAATAGTCTTCATCCTCTTGCAAATAATTGTAGTGGTTCGTGGCTGGTCTGCTGCGGTTTGTGGAAACCGGAAAAAGAAATCTCATATTTTTTTTGCTTTTACTCTAATTTCTGGTAAGTGATATTCTGAAATTCTTATTTCAGGATTTTGATTAATGATCAGTAAGAAGTAGATTATTGCCGCCACCAACCACCTGTGCTATGTTAATGTTTAGAATTTCGGTATGTTGTAAGTTGTTTCCATTTGATTTTGATTTTCTGTTCAATTGCTCTTCCTTCTGTTTTTTTTTTTTTTGTGCGATGTTCCTAATCTCTAGGTTTGATCTCTAAAATCAATATTCAGTATTACCACCACCGGACCCAGCCACCGCCACGACGATAATTGGACGATGTTTTTTTCTTTCAAGTCAGCCTCCACGAACTCTATCCTTGAACTATCTCAGGTTTTTCAGGTAATGTTGGTGTACTCAGTTATTGGAAGCACAAAATCTATAGTCATATTTCATATTGGGGTGGTAATTGTTTTAGGCATAACTCAAGATATGTGGAGGGATATGGAAGAAACAAAGGTTTGTCCCATCATGTAAGTTACTCTGTAAGTATTTGATTATGCCAGATTTTTCCTTTCACATATTTATGCTTCAATACTTTGATCTCACCCAGTCATCACAATAATAATATTCTAGGTTTATGTCTCAGTCCTTAAAGCATTGGAAAGCTTTGATTCTTTCCCTTTGTTTCTATTCAAATTAAAGAAACAAATTGGCATTCTATTTTTATTTCTTTGTTTCTTTCTACTATATATTTCATATCATACCTTCTAACCATACAAGATATTATGTAGACAGTTACCCTAGATGGTGAAACTGGCCTTAAGACATAACACAAGAGATATACAACAATTCAATTCCATTACTTCAATGAAACTCCATATGGGTGGTACCCGATTCTTATCTGGATGCCGAGACAAAAGACTATGGATATTGAGAAGAAAAACTATGAAGGCATCAAATATCATCTGATTTTTTTAGTAATGTTGTAATTATGTGTCTTTGTACATGATACTTCAATATTAAAAAATAATGGAATTTCATTTCTATATGATAGATGAACATTTTATTTAGAAAAAGGTTGTCCCAAAAGGACAAGCCTCATATTCACAAATTGTCAGGTTTTTGCTTTTAATTCATCTAGATTGGGAGGAAGAGACCAATCTAAGTTTTGAATTCAACATCATCAATTTTATGAAATCTTTTTTAAAATAAAATATAATTCCATATAGTTACTGTAACATCCCAAAATTCAAGGCTAAAAATTTCATTTTTAAATACATTATTATATAAAACCATCTGTATAAAAACATTCATATTAATATCTCATGTCGAAACCAAAGTGTCAATAATCAAAACATATTATCATAAAGCCATATCAGAGTGTAATCCCAAAGATCTCATGTGCGGAAAACATAGTGTGATGCGCTGCGATCAAGCCGTCTCCTTTCCTTTAAACATGAAATACCTGAAACCAAAACTGAAAACCGTAAGCACGAAGCTTAGTGAGTTCCCCCATCATACCACATACCATTCAATCACATATCCTACATACTGTCGGGCAATTATGGGGTGCCCGACCTACCCGGTACGGCCATTCTGGGGTGCCGACCTACCTGTGTCAAGCCGTTCTGGGGTGCTGACTACCCATGTCAAGCCATTCTGGGGTGCTGACCACCCATCAGTCCTAACAACCGATCCTCGGGGACTATTTCACCCCCTACTGCTACTTTCACATATATCATAGCATAACAAATTATCAGACATATCTGGGGTGTCCGATCTACCCTTCGATCCTAATGACCGAACTTGGGGACTATTCCCCTCCTACCACCACTATCACATATAACATATCACGCCAGCATATAAACATATCATTACATACTGTCAGACATATCTGGGGTGTCTGACCTACCCTTTGGTCCTTACAACCGAACTCTACTACTATCACATATAACATATCATGCCAACATATAACATATCAGGTAGTAGCAAACCTAGATGATATCACAAAGACAATCATCTAACATACAACTCCTACTGGTGGGTCGGCATTGTGGCCGTAGACCCACCGTTACTGGAAGGTAACTCACCTCACATTGCTGAAGTCCCGAAGACACAATCCCACACTTGCTGAAGTCCCGCAGACCTGACCCCAACTGCTGGCTAACAGATTCCCGAACTGTCAACACCAAAATAACACCCAATTAATAATTGGGTCCCAATACATAACCATAAGTACATTCTTTGGGTAATTACTACGTTACCCCTTGCTTGGCTTATTCAAGCCCAAGGTCCGATCCATAGGCCCAAAGTCAATTATGAATCAAAGCCCAACACATGGCCTAATTTTCCAAATTGGGCATAGGCCTATACATGGTCTCATTCTGAGGCCCAACATCATATAATCATTAAGGCCCAACTATGGCCCAATTTTCCAAATTGGGCCCAACCCCTTACATGGGCCTTACCCTAGGCCCATTAAATTATTCTAGTCTAATTGCTTGATCTTGGATAGCCCATTTAATAACCCAATCATCAAGGCCCAAAAGAAAGGCCCATCAATAAACCCAAGTGAAATTAGGGTTTCACATAAAATGATGATTAGGGTTAAGTTTCCTACTTAATCCATTAAGGACTTAATCCATTAAGTCCAATATTGCTTAGATTAATCTTTGCCAATGATTATTATTTAATATCTCAAGTTATTAAATAATTCTCGTGTGTGTGACCCGATTAATTCTTAAAGTTAGGTTTTCATTGGCATTAGGGTGTTCCAATCGAAATATTAGCCTATTTATCAATTTATTGGCCTTTTATGACAATTAGGGCTTTATTGGGCCAAATAAGCCCACTAAAATCTTATTAAGCCCATATGAGTTTTATTGGGTCCATTAGAGCTCCTTTGAGCCCATTAGGGTTTCTAGCACCCCAAACGAATCTATCACAAGAGGCAAAGCGCACCGCCACCCGACACGGCGGCCAGTGGCGGCAGGAGGCGGCAGCCACCACCCTAAGGTGGTGGTTTTTAATTTCTTTTATTATTCTTGGCTCTTACAACTTTTACAATGAATTCCTAAAACAACACACACACTACACTAATACCAACACACACAAGCGGTGGTCCTTGGCGGCAGCCACCACCTCGCGGTGGTGGCAGCGGCGACTCTTGTGATTTCCGGTCAAACAAATCATTCCCATAAACAAAAACACGCACACCATCACATCCTTTGCTCGAAACGAGAAACCAACCACCCGATAATGGCGTATGGCGGTGGCAGCGATGGTTTCGACGGCGGTAGAGTAGTCACGGCAACAGCAATAACGAACCCACCAGTAGCATACTCGACCGGTCATGGCGGTTCTTCTCCAGCTAAGCGCGATGGCAGCGACAACACAAGCGGCGACATAGCAGAGGATTGCAGAGACAACCACTGAAATGGCGACCAACAATGGTTACGACCCCAAACAGATAGAAAAATGGATGAAGAAGATGAAAGGCAGTCTCACTGTGAGTATTCTGATCGCACACGACTCATGTCCACCGGTCATAGCTCTGCCTTCGCTCTTCGTGGGGCTTCTCCAGCCGTTAAGGACTTCGCCGAAGGCGGTAGGGGAGGTTATGGCGGCGACAGTCGGAGGTTGTGGGGGATGAGGGTGGGAGGATGGCGGCTCCACTTCTTTAGGGTTAGGGTTAAGGGACCGGTGGGTTATGGCTTTACACCCGGTTCCTTCAAGACATTCTCCCATAATAACAACTATGATCCCTCCATTCTAAAATCATTTCCAATAGAGTCCGAAATTTACCTTTTCAACCCTCAGTCTTAAAATTCCTTACAAAGTAAGTATAATATTTACCAAACAACCCTCCGTTCTTGAATTTCTTTGCAAAGCCGGTCTAGAAGTTACCCTTTAAACCCCCAATATCTCAATTATGACATATTCAGCCATTCCACCTCTCTTCCTTTCAAATTAAATTCAAATAATTACAACGGAGCCCCTGTCTTCATAAATATTTTCATAATAAATCCCAATAATATAACAAGCGGTCCCTTCCTTCTCAATTACTTACAAAATAAATTCGAAACTTACATTTTAACCCCCAAATCTCTAAAATTATAATGATTAGCTCCTCAAGATCAACACCTTGCTATATAATTATCGATTTTAGGGCTACTATTCGCTCATTATTTTATTTATTGATTTAATAAATAAACGGGGCTTTACAGTTACTCTCATATAGTTTTCTTACAATGAATTTGTGAACTAATTTTTATTTCTTAATATACATATTTTATAGATGTTGGATTGAGATTTTGTGTTTGAATGAAGAATATTTTTGTTATTAGATGATTATGACAAACTTACTTTTATTAGACATGTTGTATCAATGGATGATTAGTCTACACCACCGAAATTTAACGCCATTGATGTTTGTAAAAATGGAGGTGTTCTGAGAAGTATATATGGGATTATGACAAGATTTTCAGCTTCTTGGAGTTTGAAGCTGAAGACCAATACACTTGGGCCTACAAAGGTAAATAGTACTTTATTAGGTGTTTGAATGGGCTCATAATTTTGTCGTTTTTGAATGGATAGAGCTTTAAAGTATGATTTCCTAATAAGTAGAAAAAGGTGAAAGCTCAACACAAACGTTTAATAACAAGAATACCCATTAATATGGTTTAAAGTATTAGTTTAAGTAATAATTTAATATAATATTTGATAAAACTATCGGTTGTTGGTAGATGACTAAAGTGGGTATAAATGGGTTATGGATTAAATTAGTTAAATTTAATTATTCAAACGTCAAATCCACATGAGTATTGGTAAATGACATCTAGCAATGGATTCAAATGGAAAATAGAACTGAAAGTACATTGTTTTACTAAGAAACTATGCCATTCTATTATA